TGTTCGTGTCTAGGTGAAGCAGCAGATCGCTGACGTCTTTCATGTTTCCTTAGGATCCAGAGTAGCTAAGGAACACTGGCTTCCATAAGACCACAGGTCTTTTTTTTTTTTTAAGAGTCAGTTACATCCAATGAAAAACACAAGTGCAAAGCCATCCTACTGTCTAAAGCCAGCAATCAAACTTTAAAAGTAACTTTCATTGACCAAATAAAGCAAAATTAATTTGGCCTTCTCTAATGTTTCCAGGTTCTGAGATAAAGAATTTTATTAGGACAGGTATCTAGTCTCAACTGTGTATTTAAAACATGAGAAGCGTGTACCATTGATGGGTGTATCAATTAATTAAAGACTCATGCTTTTAGACAGTCACTGCCATCAAGCGCATGATACTTGGCTCAACTTGAGCAGAAAACACGAAAGCACTCCTACAGTAGACTGTAATTCCTCGGTATTTCAATTAAGGCCTATTATAATTGTCTCCTGTTTCCTGATCTTTTCAAATAAATACATCATCTGCTCTGGAGTTTAAATGTCTACAGAAATGCACAATTCTACATAATTAGCTTCAGTCTCCCCAGTTCAGCTAACCAGCTGTGCTGCATAAGGAGAATGATCATTTTTTTTTTTTCACCTGTGAAGAAACAGAGATGAAGGTCTCCCAGTGGGGATAGTTCAGGTAAAGACAGACTGCAGGAAGACAGTGAACCTACTTCATGGAGGGTAGGTGTCGTAGCACCACATCGACAGCATGAACAGGGTTAGTGCTGATAGGTTTGTCTAGCTCCAGAGGCTCAGGCAAGGTTCTTCCTGTCAAAACTTCATGCAGCAAGTGCCAGCTCACCCGAGAAACAAACTTTATGGACACTTTGAAGGGACGATCTTTTCCACCTTCTCCTGGTAATGTCACATCCAAATCCACCTGCAAGTAGGAGGGAAAGAAAGAAAGAAAGAAAGAAAAAAAAAAAAAAGGCAGCTGTTTAATCTGCAGTCTGGTAGCCTTGAGTTTCCACTCCTTCCCATAACTGGGCGAGAGACTCAAAAGCTCAGATATTTAGGACACAGCATGATAAAAAACTACATCATGAAAGGCACAAATAAAGAGAACTGGGTCCTCACCAAGCAGAAGAGGATCACATAACTTTCTGTCATCTTGAATCAGAAAACTCTTCACTCCAGAGAAACTGTGGTTTGATTTTTTAATAGTACTTCACCATAAGAGAACATATTACAGTCTGTAAAACTGAGTATTTAATAGATTTTGCTGTAAAAAGAGGCTACTAAATTCTAGGGGAGGTTCTGAATGCAACTGTTACATGCACTTCTACATTCATTGGAATTTGCAGAAAATACATTAGAAGATTCAGACTCCATTTCACTACAGATACTCTAAGATACATTCAATTTTTCTGAACTCAGCAATATATTAGCAGTTGGGTTTGTTTCTTTTTCTTTACTATGAAGCTGTTACAAGTATCATTTTTTTCCAGTTATCTTACCCCAGTAGTGGCCACAGGAAGTGGATTGGCTGTATAGAGGCTTCTTTTCCCATCATAAACTGGTCTACGGTCCCCAAATATTGTCACTTTAAAATGCTGCACCATTGAGTCCACCACCTCCCTAGAAAAAAATTGATATTTACATGGAAGATGTTTTCAAAGAATCATCAGGCTGGAACTGGCTCCCACACAGCCTGTGTTTTGCTGAAGTAGTTTCCACAAACATATTACTCAAGTGAATTATAGAACACCCACCGGTATTCCAAAATGGTGCTTCACATACTTCAACTCAAATAACAGATAAACACTGAAATAAAATCATAATCAATGGAAATGCTCAAATACTGGGAAATATTGTTGCGGAAATGATTTAAGAAAGTCCCAGAAACGACTGAGGCATTTGTATAACCTTCTTATAGAAAAGGAGGACACACTTACCTTGGAAGAAACCCACAAGCTAATGTAACGAAAACCTAGTACAAACTCACAACGGAAAGCCACGCCAGCCCACGAAAGCAGTAGTTAATTGCACTGCCTACCTACTAACGTACATCTGCTCTTCAATTAACAAGAGTTTTGAATTCTGCCTAAATTTTATATAAAAATGAGGTAGGCTAACAAAAAAGTCCTCGCTTTAAGTCCTTAATAATCTGAGTTTTTACAACAAGACCAAGTAAAAGCCTGATCAAATCTGCACATAATTATAATAAAGTTAGGAGAATCTATAAGTTGACAGCAATGGAGAAAATAGTAACCTGATATAAGCACTGAAATTACATCTGGAAAAAAAACACCACAAAATTTTCATCTTATATAAAAAAGGTTTCTTGGTACAAGCAGTAGGTAGATCAGACCCGAAGAGACTTTCGCAATACCTCTAACTGAAACATGCCTTCAGGATTTTAATTGTTTGGGGATTCTTTGTGTTTAAGTGGCACAACAACGGTATCTTACTTGATACCTCATAATTCCCTTACTCTACAAAAGTTAACCACTTTTCTTCTTAAGCATATGCAAACTAGCACTCTTGCAAAGCAGCAGCTTACTAGTATATCATTTCCTGACCAGGCAATATTAGCCTCAAGTACTTCAGGAAGATGATAAATATTGACTTCCTCTTCAAGCAAAATTAGTAGCAGTACTTTCACCTGTAAGCTGGGACCTGGGGAAAGGGAAGATAAATTCTCCATTTCACAGTTCTTTATGTTACTAAACTCTCAGAATCCAAACTCTTTCGCTGGCTAAAAGCACGTCAATATACTTAATGAACTTCAAAATACCTACTTAGTACTCAGTTGTGCTCCTGCTCAAGTCCATCTTATCTGAAAACCCCATTCTGTGCTGGTACACTGCTCCCTTGTAACACTATGCACAGGGACAAGTGTGCAAAAGAAACTATTTCCGAAAGTGCCAGCTTGTTGTCACATAACCTGTGACAAAAGCAGAGGGATAAATGTTAGTGATGAAGAGTAGGAGCAGGAGGGAGAAAGCAAGAGGCTCTGTAAAATAAAACTCCCATACTAGAGTTCTCAGCTGTAGCTCTGCTACTCATCTCACACGTACAGCACGCTTCAAAGCAAAGCATTATTTACCTTCTGCTTTCCAGTTTACAAGGCAGCGGAAACAGTGGTAAAGAACATCGCTATGAAGGAAAGTGAAAAGGAAACAGAAGACACTAGTTTTTAAAGCCTCTCTACAGCTAAAAGCTAATAAAGGTGCAGGTGAACTAAAAAAAAAAACCCAACCAGCAACTATTAAGGAACGAAAAGCCCTGTTTATTCCAAATACAAGCATTCAGACAGGATGTTAGTCAGAAACTATTTCAGAATAGCTGAGTCTATGTAAATCCACTGACCTCTTAGAAACAACTGTCACAGCATGCAAGAGAAAGGGAAAAAATAAACTTCTAAGGAAAATTCTTCAAAGCAGGTAATTCAGTGTACTGATTTCAATTTAGACTAATGAAAGCCATTCCTCTTTGTGTAACCCACAGCACACTATCCAAAGCAATTTATTCAGCAGATACTATATTCTTTTATTGGGCTCATTTATACGAACTCTTGCAGTTTTTAACTAACATCTGCCACATTTTTACACACAAGGAAGTTGGTAAAGTAGTAGTATTTTTAAACAGTCAATTTCACAGTTCCCTACTTTGAAAAAAAATAACATGCATGCAAGATTTACCCTCAACTTTCTGATTTTAAAGTACAGCTTATATCAGGATTCATAATTTACATACTGTATTTGCTCTCAAATTTGAATACACCTTTAGTCTTTCATTTGAAAATATTTGACTATTAAAGCAACTCGTTAGGTTTTCTGCCTGTGTTCAATTAGTCATCTCAGTTTACCTCGACAAAAACCAGACAACTGCTTCTACCAGTTGGTAACATGAATAAGGAAAAGCAATACAGTGTCTTTACTAGTAGAATAGAAAGCTGATGAGCTTCTGGAGAAAGTTACACATGCATCTGAACTACACCTACACTACAACAACTAAACGTATGAATGAGAAATCTCAAAAAGCACTTAAAATTAACTCCAGTCTTTAAAAAGCACTTCTGGGAAACAACCAACCCTCATAGAGCCTAACAAACATCAGAAGGAATGGTTAGATACTCAATCTGAGACTCGCAAAAGGTATGAAAAGTTTTATCAGCTACAGACATGCTCTTCAGGAAATCACTATTATTTAGGTAAGCAAAAACATTGATCATTTCACACAGAGTTACTTTACAAACTCAAACCAAATGCTTTTGCCCCTCTCCACATGAACTGAAAACTTCCTAAGACACAGCATTTATCTAAAGTGGAACCAACTAAAACAAGCTGTGACAAACATCAATTTTGGTTTTGGAAGCAAGCTTGAAATTACTCTACAAACAGGACGACAAAAGGGATTTATTTTTCTTCTTTTAAATTTCACATAAAATTTAGTTGCTATTTTAAAACAGCTAATTTCAAATGCACTATTTCCAAACATCTGTAGTTTTTCCCACTGTTACGGAAACAACTAACTACACAGAATCAGAGAGTGCAATTTCTGGAGCAACCAGAGTTCTTACAGCTGTGTCTCCCTTAGTCTATTTTAATTGAGCATTGCCACACAACACACAAAAAGTGGTTTTAGTCAACAGATTTTAAGTGAAATGACATTTATATTCATTACAAGATCACATTAGAAAAGAATCAGACATACAAAACAGTAAGTCAGTCTAGAGCAGTTGGTATTCTCCTTGTATCCCTATAAGCATGGCTTCACAAGTGTTCTTCATTTAACAATACGGTAGTAAGTTAACCTTTCATAACAGTAAGATTATATTAAATATTAATTCACACAGAACAATTATATCCCAGTTTGAGCAATTTATTAGTTTCTTTTTAATTAATACTTAACACAGGTATTTATATAGCCTTCATAATTGCAGTATGCAACAAGCAGGGGAAAAAAATCACCAGCCAGCATCAGACCCTAGCAATATGTTATTGTTAAAATGTAAAGAACCAGAGTTGCAGATGAAAGAGGAAAAAACTGCTTTTCAGCTTCCCTGAACTTTAACTGATGAAACAGATTCCACAAGAGACTAACAAGTAACTCCTCCTAAAAATATTATTCAATGCAGAGAAGAAATACTGGAAATACAAAAATGTTATAATCTTTAAAAAGCAAAAATTATTATAGCTCTAATGTCAGGTTTTCAATTAACTACTCTTTCTGAGGAGGGTTCTCTGGCTCCCCAAATCTATGAGGTTTAGGACAAAATACACAAGGATGGTATACAAAAAGCTGTACTTGCAATCTGCTAAGGCAGAAGAATCCAGCAGTCAATACATACAGTTTGTTGGATCACTAAATGAACAGGGTTGTAGAATATGAAAATACTCTCTCCATTTAACCAGCAATCTAGAAATGAAGTAGCCTAGCAAGGGATTTAACTGACCCTAAGGCATAGCAGACATGAAAATAAGATGAGATACAATGTGCTATACAAAACGCTCTAACAAAGCGTTTAGAGAAAGGACACAGGTGGAACTCAAACCAAGTCTGGCTATTTCAAATATACTAAGCTGATGCATGAAATAACTATTAACAAGGGGAAAACTAGTTTGTTTGCAGTGCCTTCATACTGCTCCTCCTAATGGAAGCTTTCCAGCTGAAGGCTGCCTCCTCCTGTACCTACAGTGATGGCTCTTAGTCGTTAGCTTCTGACCACAGTACCCAAGTGAATTAAATCAGGGAACCCTTCTGATGAACCAATGCTGCAGTGTATCTCAATATCAACTGAAGATGAAAACACCCATAGGAGCAGATTCTTGCTACCTCAAATGATTCAACAGCCAGTATTGCAACCAAAACAGGTAACTGCCTACAGCTATACCATATTTATGCTGCCCTGAAGAACAGGGGTTGCTGCCAAATGGTTCACAAAGTGCTGTGACCACTAATGGCTGGACTGCTTCACAGCATCTGGTCACAATCAAACTGAAGAGAACCTGGAAAAGGCTCTGTACGCGTCTCACAGATGTTTGTGAGAAATTGCACACAGGTCTCCATAGCATAATGCTCAGATTTTAAGCTATGCAGAGACGATAATTACTTCAGCAGGTTCCTCTGTTGCTTTAAATTTCAGTATCAGTATAATTTACAAGACAAATTTCACCTTCTTACCTGTTCACCCTCCGAGGACACTTATCTGGTTTGATATCCACCTCATAGAGGTAGACATCAATCTTTGGGATTTCAACTTGGAAGCAGTTGGCCAGCAGTTTAATGGGTTTGCCCATGGTGCCATAGCCAGGACGCCTGGGCACCATGAGTAGGGGCTGTGCCCCGACGGGTCCTGAAAAAGAAAAAAACATCACAGATTAGAAGATAAGCACAACAGACAAGCTGTGTTGCAAAGGTACTACTTGCTTATATTTCAGCAGTTTAAAAATACATAAGGCTCCTTGCATTTGCAGGTACACACACTTGTCTCCCACTGAGACTCCCCTCTTGTCCTCCCCTTTTTCAGTCTTAGGCAATTCCCTGAACCAACTCACAGGACGACCAGGCAGGCATCAGAGCCAGCACACTGGAAGAAGGCAAAATTAGCTGTATCAAACAGCACACATCCAGCAGCGTGCTATTAAGTTCCAAATGAATACTTGCCCATTTTTCCCCCTTGAGCCTCCACCCACATCTAGACTGCTTTCTTACTGATGGGTTTCAGCATCGGTGACTAACATGAATAAAATCAGGACATTTCCTAAACATAAAAAAAAAAGTGTGCTTCTCCTTGAAACACTTTACAACTGCGGAAAGCCTGTGTGCCATTAAAACACAAAAAGTTCTACAAGTCTCTTCTGAACACCCTAGTAATAACAAAGTTGCTGTGGAATATGAAAACATGGAAGTAGTTCTGGATTGATGTACGTTGTTTGCGATAAACTCTTAATTTCATTGCCATTATTAGCTTAGTCTTGGAAGACAGATTATTCTTGAACTTTGCTGGCTGAAAATGGATGAAGAGTAAAACCATTACCTCCTGTCTAAGTACACCAATAAAGCCGACTGGGCAGAAGAGGACTCAGATTAAGACACAGGACTGTAAAATTCTCAATTACTTCTACTTGAGAGAAGAATACCCATAGCTGCTCGGAGAAACCATCAAAATATGCAATAAGAGATGGGTATTTTGAAAGTCAGCTAAAAATGCCTGTCTAGTAGTATGTTACACTCTCATCTGGTTATCCATCTAATTTACTTTGCATCATTTAGACAAGAATCCTCAGCTCAAGATCTGGGTTACTCATGCCTTACAAAATCAAACACAGTAGTAAACACAGTCCACTTTCAAGAATTTCTACTGGTATTTCCACTTAAAAATCTCACTTTCCAGTCAAGAAACAACAACAAAACCAAAATGTTTCGTAGCCTGAGTTTTAAAAAATTACTCATCGTACAAATGTCATGATTTACAGAGCATTCGATTAAGTTAGTTAAAAGTTCTCCCCTCCACTCCTACTCAGTGACGCAGATAGCAATTCCAGCCCACTCATTTTCATAGAGGAGTTAAAATGTCAAGTGCTGGTAAAAATGGCTTATTTGCCTTTTGATTAATCTCCACCATTCCTGGAAAAAAACCTGCATTATATTGAAGGAAACCATGTACTGAGAATAGGTGAACATCAAAGCCAAGTTCCACTGTAACATTTGTCTGGCTCTACCCAGAAACCTACCAAAAAATTCTGAGTGGGCTTGGCTTCGAGCCATGAGATGAAACAAAAACATAAAACAAGAAGCATCATTTAAAACACCCTCACAGACTATGCTTATGCAAAACTTGTTCCAAGCATCTGTTCAACTTTTTCTTCATTTTAATACTGTCACATGAGTAAAATCAGCTCTACAATTTACTCCAGATATATTTTCAGAATATAAGCATATGCAAAAAGTTACTACTAAACATTTGAATGACATAAATGACTCAATAGCTTGTTTTAATATTACAAAGACATACATGCCATAGTTTATATTTAGTTCACATGTGTAGGAAATGCTAACAAAACTGCTGAAATAAAGATAATGTTAAAAAGGTTGCTATAGTGTGGTCTGTCCTGTCTTCCTCCACCTCGTTTGTTAAAATCATGTAAAATGTAAAAACAGTTGCTAAAATATGTAAGCACAGAGGAAACAGTGTGAAGACAATCTTCATGAAGGTTAGTTAGGTGAAGAAGTTGAAGCACACGGACAGGGAAATATAGTACAGCTGAGATCTTTGTCACCCTCTCCTCTGGAAGTTGCACTAAGTTGAACTTTTTAACTGAGCAGTGAACTGCTGGAGAGTGCTGGAGAAGAGGTAAAACGCTTCACGGGAATGCTATCCCTTGTTTACCCCTTCGCTTAGATTAACAGAATCCTAGTGATCAACTGTACAGGGCCAAAAGCCTGAAACAGAGAAGTCATACTCATTTACTAATATGAGGCAGGGTGCACCTCAAAATCCTGGGTCAGGAAAGAAATGCTCTACCCAAAGCCAAGAATGCAAGCAGGCCTCCAACCTCTGCTCCCGGGAAAACCGTGGTGAACAAAACAAGAAAATACCAGTTGTCAGACAAAGGCTTTCTTTAGCCTTACTTGTTCAGCTGTACGACACACGGCTCCTCTGGAAACAGCTCACCATGGAAGAAGTTAGAACCCAGATTGTGGCAGAGAGGAATTAAGTGATCAAAAAATGAGTAAGAAGTGCAAGTCTACACACTATTCAGGAATAATTTTAAAAAATTCAGCTGAATTTGCTGTCATTTTGCGTGACACCCATGTTCCCTTGGACAAGTTAACTTAAAAACATGAGTACGCTGTAATTCGATTCTGCTATCACTGTCCAAATACACTAGCACCCACTCAGAATATCCTGCTTTCAAAACACACTGAACTGCCAGATTGCACGTTGTGAAAGTCTGTGTCACTGGCTTCAAACCTGTGACTCAAAACCCAATAAAACATAAATAACAAGCGACGCTCTCTGAGGACAGCTACTGCTCCCGTATCGTATCAATGACTCACTCAACCTCATGCCTAAGTCCTGTGTCAAGCTAATGGAAATAAACATACAAACCAAAAATACTAAAAGTATTATTATTCTAAATAGCACAGAATGACTACAATTGGCAGAGTGATTCCTTCATGTTATTTAACCATTGCAAAACCAGTGTCATTAAAGTTTCAAAAATCTTTGGAACATTCCTGCAGCACAGCCTGGCTCCGCAGCAGATGGAGGAGCCTTCAGTCTCTCAGTAGCTCTGCACTGCTCAGTTGCCCACAAGTCCTAGAGGAGAAACTTCTTTGTGTTTCAGAAACTATTACTACTCTGCCATTAGAGCATCAGATACGTACATGCGCCTAGTATGTTCTTAAAAATCCAAGAAAAAACATAAGCCAAGTCTGTTTAGTGTGCCAGAATAGTACTCAATTCATAAAACCAGTTAAGGAAAGTCCCCAACATTGACAGTCAACTGATGTGTAACACAGAACAACGAATACACAGATAGGAACTAAAACTGGTGCTTCCGACTGATTCTCAGAAGGGTTTTACAAAGCAAGGGAGTACGTTTCAAGAAGACACAAGATCCACCACTAAGTATCTTGAGCCTTCTGAATGTACAGTTACTCACCAGAAAACATACAGGAAAAACCTACAGAGAAAATATTTAACTAAGCATTTAAACCAGTAATAACGTAAGGTGGAAAAAAATAATCTCTTCAAGACCTAAAGGTATATCAATTTATGAATTACCGTTCATAGCATTTGCTGAAGGCATTATTCATGAACATCCTTCAGCAACGTTGGAAGACTTTTTTCTCACAAGTGAACGCTCACTGCCCTTATAATACATCTGCAAAACAGACAAATACTAAACCAGGAAAGTTCCATCCTCTCCATTTACCAGCAGTGCCCAACGGTGTCCTGCGTACGGCAGCGCAAAGACCATGGTTCGCTCCCTACCGCCACACTTACAAGTAGGTATCTTGAATCCCCATTGTGTTTCACAGGGGATTTACACCAGTATTTCCCACGGGCATGTAAGGGGCATTACTGTTCCAGCCCAGCATTCACAGGAATGCAAGTTGGTTATCCGGGCCTGCCGCGCTAAGCCAGGTAACCCATCAAATAACCTATGTCCCATAGCCACGCAGCTCGCTGATGAGAGATGGAAGACATTTTGAAGAGCTTTGCTCATATTTAATCTAGTATATCAACAAAACCCAAGAAGAGATAAAACGAGGAATCACCATTTTTAGAGGGCTTACTGAGGAAATCAGTATTTCAAAAATGTTTTAAAAAAAATTGCTAAAATGGAGTATCTTATTTATGAAATATGTTCTGAAGAAAAAAGGTCATACCAGTACTACTTTTTCGAAGTGCTAAAGTTTGGAGTAACATTAAAAATACGTGGACAATGACATTAATTTCAAGTGGCATCTCCGCCAACAGAACCATTTATTCCAACAGAATTTGAAAACAGTGGAAATTTGCAGTTGTCAGTATTCAGATCCACAATTTGAAAACTCCTGTTAAAGTCAGATCATATTCCAGACCAATATGGAAGTCCTTCTAATGGTTTAAATGAGCTCTGAACCAGAATCTTTTCTTCTGTGGAATTATAGATGTTATAATAAAGATTAAACACAACAAAAATTGACACTAATTTCTATGGTAATACAGCCAGCAGTATAGAACACATCTGGCATGCATCCAAAACACAGGCTTGAATCTACCTAGCAACTAAATGAAGCCCTAATCGGAATAAAGCCTGAACAGAAAGAGCAGAAGCACAGAAACCTGCAAATACTTTCAACAAACCATTTTATGGAAAATTGAAGCTTTTGGCACGCAAGATAAGTTTTACAGCATGAAGCAAAATAGTGATTCCTAGCAAGACGCTAATAGAAAATACAGATTTCCTTACATGATCCTTCCCTTACAGAAAGAGACATTGGTACCAAGCTTCCAGAAAAAAAATATCCCCTTTCCTACTGTGGCTTTGGCATTATAAAACCAAAAAATATTAACAAAGGATTACTTAATAGTTTTATTTTTGTTTATAAAACAGTTCTAAATCTCTAATTGAATAGGTGATCGAACAGCCTTAAACATGGTAAGAGGACATAACAGGTAAAATATTATTTAAACTCTGACTCAGTAACACAAGGCAGATTTGTCCAACAGATCCTATCCTCCAGGGTGGAGTCTGCACACAGGAGAAAGCTCTCCATGGTGGGGGG